CTAAAACCATTTTTGAATAGAGAAATAAATATTAGTTTGGGGAAAAAGAAATCCATTCTCGTAAAGTATCGATCAAACAATTTCCGATACTGTACATTTCGCAGCAAAAAAAATTCTTTTGCTGTTTTTTGTTTGGTGCATTCAGTTGTGAGTTACAGCGTGTTAAAAATGGAAGTGAACAAAGACAAAGGCGAAAATGCAAGCCAGGCGGCTAAAATTGTGAATGGTGTTTATGGTTCCGATACTGTAACAGCCAATTATGTGATATAAAATAGGAAGAAAATGGAAGAGAATATCCCCCATCAACATAAAGCAACAGACCTTGCCAATTAAATCCAATCCCCATTCGCACTTGAACAGCTTTACTTAATTCTACAGAAAATTCCCCTAATTTTCATTAGAGTCGGAGAAAGTAGCTGAGTGAGCTCTGTCATCTGACTTTTGATCTCTTCTTTTGCTTGGAATTACTGAAGTAATTTTAGGCTTCTCGGTCTAGTTTAATTGTATGCGTTCGTATGTTCGGCCATTTGTTTTCTATTAATAAAATGCTTAATGTCGTAAAAGTTAAAATAGAAAGATTGAACTTGCTACATACTAACGTGCTCGAAGAGTAAGACCGATATAATTTTATCTTTGTTCAATCTATTCATTATACCAAATCTTATGTGTCGTCTACGAAGTACTTATGTCATCGTCTTAGCTACTTATACCAACGTTTTCTCAAATTCTCGAAGCCGTTGTTACAATCGATTACCGAAAGGGCCTTCAAAGCTTTCTGCGATTCAGCTTGTATTTTTTCGATCGAGTCAAACCGATGTCCCCGGAGTGATCATTTGTGTTTAGGAGACAGCCAGACGTCATGTGGTTGAATTTTAGCAAAGTGATCTCGAAGAACCAATGCGGAAATTGAGTGTTTTTCGTAACAATCGAGATTTGATGTGTTTCAGGTCCGAAATATCTTTTACGATGTGGCTGACTAATGTCGGTGATATTCCAACACAGTTTTTGAGCACTGAATCTGCGATTTGTTTGACGTGACTTTCCTCGGTAAGGCTTGATGGTCATCCGATATGCTTGTCATCTTCAAACCGTTCTCGGCCTTTTTTGAATTGTTTATAGCGCTTGCAAATGAAATGCAAATAAAATTGAATGCAACAAAATACTTTTTGTGCCGTATAAAACCAAGCGCGACTGAAACATTAATAATGTTTATGATGTGAAACTTGCTAAAAATGTCTGTCATAGTGCTATTAATTAAAAAAAAAAAATAAAATATATTCGCGGATGTTAACTTGAATATTGGTCTTACTTTTTGAACACGGTATTATATTCGTAGCTCGTGAAAATGCCATTTGACGCGACCATGTCATAGAAAGTAGATTGCAACTCTCAATCTACATCAAAATAAATTAACACAAATTAATACAAATCCTTTCCTAGGGCCATGCAAAAGTTCAATGTAGAACGTTCGATTAACTGATTTGTCGTCAATTAACGAATTAGTTGACAATTTTCATATTCTACGCAACGTTTAAGGTTGCAAGGTACATTAAATTTGTGCGTGTATGTAATGCACAACAGGTTTTAAGATAGGTCATTTCTTTATTATTATACGAATCAATTTAGAATCATGAGAAGTGATTAGTCACTTTAGGCTTGTCTATGCGTCCTTTTGTTTGCCTGCGCAATGTCTATCCACATATTATTGTGTTCAGTGTGTAGGTTGTAAGTTTGACTGAAATAGTTTGACGAAACTTGTTACACTGCTTCATTTTGGCCCAAGGATGGATCTTATTATAAATGGATTGGCATTCTGAATTGGTGCGAAAAAAAATAGATCGGACGGGGGGACAAGTTTTTAACCTTTTAATCCGTTTCTAAACTTTTTCATTAGAAAAAGGTCTACTTTCTGATATTTTGTAACGAAAATTCGTTCGTCTATTGAAAAGTAGGCATGAACGATGGCAAAAAGGTGTAACTTGCTGTGTGTATTAACAGTACAATATATGAGTGACGCAAGTCTGTTTTTCGGACTTTATCCCATATAAGGATTTCTATAAAAATGAGATCTTTATATGGTAACAAAATCTAATATTTAGTACTTTATCGAAATACGAGCTAATAATACGAAAAATCGAGTACGAAAATAAGTTACGGTTAACAAAAGCATGATTGATTAATTTCTTTAAAATTAAAGTATGTCTGTTCAAATTTTGGGCTCTCTCTCGTCTAAGAAGTCGCATGAAAAAAGTATGCCTACGCATGGAAAGAAGGTATAATTTTTGATATTTTTTTTGGATCACAAAAAAAAAAAATTAAGAATCGTATTAAGTGAAGTGGTGCTGAGTATTTAGTTGTCTTCCTTGCGTGATTATCATGTTTTCCTTATACATCCCATTGACTTGAAGAAGTAATGCAATATAATATTCTCATTTTTATCATTTCACCCTACGCGAGTTTTTCAATTCGGCTGCTAATTTACAGTTTATGGATATATAATATACGATATTTAGTTACAAGCTAAAGTCCATGTCGCAGAAAAAAAATGAAGTTACAATTTTTCGATCTAGATAGATTTAATTTTATATTCGTGATGTTAGCAAACAAGCCTAGCTAAATAGGTGTCCTTATCCGCCCGTAGTTAGAATCAGGAAAATATATATGTAACCTTTTTCTATTTTTATGTATTCCGTACAAATTTTAATCAAAATGAGTTAATAGAAGAGCGTATCAAAGTTTTATTGTCTTTGTTGAGAAGGAGCGAATCCCTCGATTTATTACTTTTATTATACATATATATGTAAATATGTATAAATATAGATGTATATTATTATTATTATTATTATAAATTTAGCAAGAGAGAGCGCTTCAAGACTAAAGTCTTTAGACTAAAGTCTTTAGCGCTCTTAGCATCTAAGGCTTTCGGCTTTATTAAAAACTCGACCGTACTTGAGATTTGAACCCGCGATCATTGAGTTGCCAGTCGAGATTCCTCGCCTTCGGCCACTCAGGCGGATATAGATGTATATTATATCGTAGCTTCTTATAGAATAAGAGAGACGAAATTATTGGGCTTAGATCGGCATATGGTTAGAGCTATATAATAGCTTATTTTACAACTGCAACTAATTTAATATTTAATAAGACGGCTTCACGCATATAAATGTACGTTGTATAAATAGAATATCAATACCTGTAGTTTGTAAGCATTAAACAGGTTAACTGAACTCGGCTGTAATAAATAGTAAAGAGTACATGGAAAAAATACCAACTTTTCAAAAAGAGAATGCCACTAGAATTGATACGTGCTACGCATTGTAGGTTTGGATACAGGAGTGTGTAATTGACAAGGTTTAAGGATGTGTGTTAGTTTTTCCTAAAATGTAAATGAGTCCTTGCGGATAGTAAAAACACACACAGATTTATATATATATATATACTTATATATATATATATATATATATATGTAATTCTTTGTTTTTCAATTTTATAACTTAAATATTTTCTATTACTAAACGATTATGCGACAATGCGGGACACCTGACAGCATGAATGTGTCTTATGCTTAGATTAGAACCTCAGTTAAACAAACTCAAGCATATCCAAAGGAAGAAATAAGTCACGTAACGGATATTTCTTATTGATATTCCATGATCGCACACACATATAGTTAAGCCATAACAACAATAACTTTTAATAATTCTGAAAACAAAGAGTAGTTGAAGCTAGTGAGGCCTGTTAAAACATACCCTCCGGCATACTGGAAATATTATACTGTTGCGTGATATTTGTGCAGAAAACAACTAAAAAGCAAGCATAACGCGTTCGCTCGTTGTGTTTATTTCAGAATTATAAAACTAAGTCTGAGAAAATAAAAACCTAATATTCATAATAATTATTATAGATAAAAAAATAAAAAAAATAAATAAAAAAGTAACAGAGAAAAGATATGCTCAAGGCGTACATAATAAGTAAATAATCCAGGTAGCGAAGCCATTTGGAAGGAAAAAGAACAAAATTTTAAGAACGTTTCGGTGATATGGTGCATATATCTGCATAGTAGCGATCGTAAAATTTGTCTGATTGGTGGTTGCTATTATCAACCAATGTTTTACTCTTAATTTGTTCAGAGTCGAGTCGCGGCGGTGGTGGCAGCGATCATCTACTCTTAAACCATACAGAGTCGTTAAAATGCGGTGGCGGTAATGACGTAGTAGCTATTGCTAACTGAAAAAAAAAAAAAAAAACTGATTGAATTAATAGTCGTTGTTAGTTGTAAGCGAGCTCCTGGTTAAAGCAGACGCTACAGATCGGAAGTTAATACTTTTTTCTGATTCGTTTTTTGTTTTTTTGTTTTTTTTTGTTTTTGATTTTCATACGAAACGGAAGTGTATAAGAAGAATAAAAATGAGCATTAAACGCTAAATATGAGAATAAAGAATTCTTGCAGTTTTAGATCACCGGGAATTGAATCTATTGAATGGCGCCATTATTAAAACTCTTAAAAACCGTAACAAATTTCTTAAATCTGCGAAAGTGAAAAATCTACGACTCTTACTTTAATTTGGATATTAATAATTAAAATTTTGTGCTCAGGAGGGCGCATTATGCTAACGTTAATGTTAATTTAATAATGAACGGTACATTTGTTGCGAAACCATGAAAATTCCTACATTTAAATATAAATTAAAGACTGTAGACAAATAAAAATATGAACCAACCAACGTACCCATAATGGTCTTCGGAATGTTGGTTGGTTGCTTTAATTGTTAAAAAAGTCTTGTAAAGAAAGACAGACGGTGCCAGTGCTCGTTGTTAGCCGCTTTAAATGTTCAATGGTAACCAATACAGCGTCTTTGGCAAAATATCTTAGCTTTGCTAATACTTCATAAAAGCAAGCTCATTATGAACGCTAATCACATATTGTCTGTTTTTTTTTATTTTTTTTTTGTTTTTTTTTTCTAAATAAATCAATGATAACGATTTAGTATTGAAAGGCTACGCAAACACATATATAGAGGCGGAATTATATGCATATAAGAATGCCGTCATTTCACCATAACTAAAAATTTAAAGTTTGTTAATTGAAATTTGTTTATAAATCAATTACAGTGTAGTGTACAGTGTGTCGCAGTAACGTCAATTACATAAATTAATAATATTGAAAATGAAGAGTTACAATTTAAGCATCATATATTTTCTCGAAAGCATGACTATATTGGTGTTATTGGATAGTGCAGTTATTAGTATGGCAAGAGAGAATAAATCGGTATGCTTGTCCGGTAAAAACATGAGCTTATATGTTAACCTTAGTTCGGATGTTTTATTAAACGAATATGTAAACGAGGAACAAAATATATTGATTATATGCCCTTTCGTCGCTGCCAAGTTATATTATAATGGCAATCTACTAAGCTATGATCGAACTTTCGTTTTAGAAGGATTCAAAGCTGAGAACGCCGGTACATATAGTTGTTTGTCCCAAGATAACGTTAACGAAACAAATTGGGCTAATTTGACATTATTTGTTTGCGAGAAGAATCTAACCAGCGAATATCTACAATTAAAGTTAACGGATGAACTGAGCAATGATTTTCGCTTACCCCAATTCAAAATTCCAATCCAATTAAGCAAATATGTGGAAAAGCATAGTGGTGGACTGGCGGTATTCACTTGTTTACCTCTTGGCAATACTTTGCCTAACGTCACGTGGTCTTACAACGGTTCCCCATTGAATTTGTTAAAAACGAAATATAAAATAAAAAAGTATTCGCTATATGTTGATGATTTGTCAAAAAACGAATCGGGCACTTACGAATGTCAGCTATGCAATGAAGTCGGCTGTGTTACTCAGTCGACAATTTTAAATGTAATCGATCGTTTACGTTCGCGGCCGGTCATTCGTAGCGGTACGCCAGCCAACCGAACGGTCTTTATTAATGAAAATGTTGATTTTGAATGTCAGGTGTTGTCCGACATTGAACCTCACATCATATGGCTGAAGCATAATGTGAATTTGAATATGTCGTCTAGCGGTCATCTCGATCTTTATAACAATCCGAATATTGTGAAGCTGCCTACGAGTGCAGACGAACCATATTTATTGCGTTTGGGTAGCGTGCAGCTTGAAGATGAAGGCTATTATACCTGTGTTGCGAAAAACAATCTTGGGGAAGCGATTTCTAGTGCGTTTTTAAAAATTTTAATAAACAATAATTTAAAAAACATTGCTGTCAACGTAACTGAAAGCAAAACATTAGAGAAATTTACTGGAGAAACTGACCCGAACATCAAGCTGTCAAATAATGAGGAAACAGACGACAACGATATGTTGAATTACAAAGTAGAACAAGAAAGTGTAACGAGATTTAAATATGTGAAAAAGATCGACGATTCGGATATCGAACAAGAGGCGAAGAGCAGTAGCAACGAGGATGCGCCTCAATTTAAGAATACTAAAAAACTGGAAGAAAACATCCATAAACCTTCGGGCAGTTCTGTGCAATTAGTGTGTCCAGCCACTGGTAATCCGACACCAATCATAAAATGGACCCGTAATAATACCGAAATTGAAAGAACAATTGGCAGGGTTTCATATAAAAAGTGGTCCATCCAAATGGATGACGCTACAACGGAAGACTCTGGCCTATACAAATGCACCATTTGTAATAAGCTCGGCTGTATTGAACATGCAACAAAAGTCACGATACGAGACCGTTTGCGTTCACCACCCATAATAAGCGACAAGTTTCCACAGAATCAAACTGTGCTTGTACATAATAGCACCTATTTGGAGTGCCGGGTAGTCTCCGATTTAGAGCCAAGTATAAAATGGTTTAGATACGCCCATCAAAATGTACCTATTAAACAATTAGAGCAAGTCGCCTTAAAATTGGTTAATAAAATTCCACCTGATAATAGTTCACTACTTAATAATGTAATTGCTTTGACTGCGGACCCGGATAGACCGAACATTTTAAATTTCACTAACGTTACGCATCGAGAAGCCGGTTGGTATACTTGCGTAGCAAGCAATACTTTGGGCCATTCTCTAGCGAGTGCTTATATGAACGTAGTCGATAAACTCCCAAGGGATTCCATATTTCGAGGGCATCCAGTGTGGATAACAGCTGTGGCGATTGTAGTAGTTTTGTTGTTTTTACTCGGTACAGTTTTCATAATATATGTGCTGCGAAAATTAAAGCACGAAAAGCTTTTGAAGCAACGCATAGAAACTGTGCATCAATGGACAAAAAAAGTGATTATATATAGACCAGCTGCAACAGAAGGGAGTAGTTGCGACCTTCAAATGCCGGTTATCAAAATCGAAAAGCAACGGACGACTTTTACGACATCCAGCTCAGATCCAGTGAATGGATTTAATGAATATGAATTTCCATTAGACTCTAATTGGGAAATTCCGCGTAGCCAATTGATTCTTGGCTCAATATTAGGGGAGGGAGCGTTTGGGCGTGTAGTAATGGCAGAAGCCAGTGATCTTTCGAGTACGACTCTCTCTACCATGGGAAATACGCCAACGATAGTCGCTGTCAAGATGGTGAAAGAAGAACATACAGATGTTGACATGACAAGTTTAGTCCATGAAATGGAGGTCATGAAGCTCATCGGAAAGCACATAAATATCATAAATTTGGTGGGATGTTGTAGTCAAAATGGACCGTTGTGGGTTATAGTGGAATTTGCCCCTCACGGCAATTTAAAGGACTTTCTTAAGAAAAATCGTCCTTTGTCAGGATGGGGAAATTCCTCCCTGGAAGGTAGTGGCGAATATTTAGAAGATAAGCCACAATTGACAGAGAAGCATTTAGTATCGTTTGCCTTTCAAATTGCTCGTGGCATGGACTACCTAGCTTCGCGTCGTGTAAGTTTCGAATTTTTTTTTTTTTTTTTTTTGATATCGCTATACACCTTTACGAAGGCGCTTCTTCTTACTTTGGGGTTTAATGAGTTTCTATTATTTGTAGTGCATACACCGTGACTTAGCGGCGAGAAATGTTTTGGTTAGCAACGATTACGTAATGAAGATAGCAGATTTTGGGCTCGCACGTGATGTGCAGGATACCGATTATTATCGTAAAAAAACGAATGGTCGATTGCCCATTAAATGGATGGCGCCCGAATCATTACAGGATAAATTTTACGATTCAAAATCGGACGTTTGGTCGTATGGTGTTTTACTGTGGGAGATTATGACTTACGGCGATCAGCCGTATCCGAACATAATGTGCGCAGAGGAGTTATACAGTTTCTTAATAACGGGCCAGCGAATGGAGAAACCGTCGCGTTGTTCTCTCAATATTTATATGCTAATGCGACAGTGTTGGCATTTCGATTCAAATGCCCGACCAACATTTTCTGAGATTGTCGAGAACCTTGACAAGATACTCCAGCTATCAAGTATAACGCCTAACGAGGAATATTTAGATTTATCTATTCCTATGTTAGAGACTCCCCCTTCGTCAAGCGATGAAGAATCAGAGCCGGAAACGTTCCAAGAGACATCTCCACTTCGATATCAATATACATATAAGTTTAATTAGCTTAGCTTTTAACGAAAAAAGCAAAGAAAGTTGGGAAAAAAAAAGGAAGAGAACGTATGCAGTACTTTCATACACTTTTACGAAACGAAAAGACTATCTTGTACACATATGATAGAATAAGAACACATACACATAAGTATATCTTCGGCCATGCATAAACATATTATGTAGATTCATACTTTTTCTTGATATTGAAAATAATATAATAATGTAAACGTATCTCTTACGACTTACGCCGAACAGTGTGGTTTTTGTTCTCATAGTTACTTATAAATAAGTCACTCATACAGCTTTATATATATAGTTTAGTAGTTACTAATTATTTATATGTCGCTAGTGATACTAATTATATTAATTTTGTGCGAATGTATATAAACAATAAAAGGATCAGAAATATGTTGCGCTATAATAATAATAGCGATCAGCTATACACATATCGCCCTCAAATTGCAGAAACCGGGAAACTTTCTCTAGTAGTTTCGAGATATTTCTTTCAATCACCTATCATTTATAAGAAACAACAATTATCGATTTTATGCAAGTATTTAGCACGAACAACGAAAGAGAATGAAAATCATATTCCTTGGATTGACACTACTTCTGCCTAGAACTTCAATCTTTAATATGTTTAATTATTCATTACATACACATTTGTGTACAAAGCAATGTGTTGCGTAGATTATTCAAAAGTCCTTGTCTTAATTGTCGGTTGAGTTTAATTTTTTTCCGTAATTGCAACAAAAGCATGTTGCAAAAATGTATGTTGAATTAAACGAAGCGAACAAACAATTTTCTGGAAAGATAAAGTTACGCCAAATATTTGACGCCTAGCGTTCCTTACAAATGTGTGTAAAATGCAAAATGTTTGCTTACGTTTAAGCGATTTGTCAATTGTTTGAAGATTTTTAGGTTATGTCAAAGCGTCGATTAGCACTATTTTCGCCCTTTAAGTTGGACAGGCGCGCAATACGCAATGAGAAATCTTGTAAAAGTCTCCGTCAAAAGTCACGTCTCTCAGTTAATCAAGAAATATACCATATATGAAAATGTATGGAGAGCGAGGAATGGACAAACTAACATGGCTAAATTGACCTTACATGCTAATGCCGATCACGAATATAAATCTTTTGCCCCCTCTGAGGCGCAGCCATACATCTGTAGTAGCCCCCTTATTCACTTTTCTACCATCTCTTTGCCTTTAGAACCAACCAATTGCACACACTAACTATATATATATTTATTCTTGATGTTAGGAAAAATTGCTCAAAAAAGATAGATGTGCTGCTTATGTTCTCTTGCGAACAGTATAGCATTCCAATCTTTGACCATGTCCACGCAAATTTTAATCATATTGCTGGGTAAAGATAGTCGATTAAAAAATTAAAGTAATAGCGATTACTTTTTTTGGAATCCTTTTTCCATTTATCTGGCACCAGACGATTCCATATAAGCATATATATTATTTCGTATCGAGAATTATGCAAAATATCCAGTATTTCGTATCCAATCGAGTTATGTCACTTTTCATCTCACTTTTGTAATACATAATTTTTCAACTTTCAAAAAAAAAAAATTCCAATATTTTTCATTGAAAGGATCCAGATCCAGATCCAGGTACAGATCCGTTATATTTATTGTTTTATAAAATATCCAATAATTATTAAATTGTATTACGTTATTGCATTTCTTGGAAGTGCTTAAATACATGTTTTCTTTGACCTTTTAATGCGAAATGAAAAATTTCGAATATTTTTTTCATTTGTTCGATTCATGGCCATTCAAGTGCTGTAGCGGATAACGTGAAGTTATCTTTAGTTCCTTTGACTTTAATTAATAGATTGTCTATCCTGTACTTTTTAACATATTTTCTCTCGTTTGATTTTATTTCATTTCGGTATTGCTCTTGACTGACTGTCTCTTTTGTTCTTAACAACTTTTACGATCATATCAAGAATGATTTTCAATAAATTATAGAAAATAAAATTCCAATAATTAAATAAAACTATATCGAGTTAAAGTTCTTTACATTATTTAATAAACGATTCTAGTTAATATAACATTTTGTCTTTTATCTTAAATTTCATTGAAATGTTTTACGTAATTCATATTATTCATTACACCCCTCACCCAAGAATGAGGAGTATATTCAGTTGGTCGAAACGTTTGCAACGTTTACAGAAAGAAGCATCAGAGACCCCACAAAGTATATATATTCTTGGTCGGCGTCAAAATCTAAATCGATTTAAGCATGTCCATCTGTCCGCCTAAGTAATGTCTGTTATAAATATTCCTCTGGTCGTAAAAATGAAATATGGCAAGAACATTGAAAGTCCTTGCACGCAAGTTGGTATTGAAAATGGGCCCACAGCACTTCGTAAACTGAGAAGACCGCTGCACTTTCGAAGTAAATGAAAAATGAAATTTGTTGCTCATTACTCATAGCTGATAAATGTATAAAAGTTTGAACGCACATTTTATGGGGCAATGCTGTAGCATTCGTGCACAAAAATGGCAAAAATTGACCACGCCTACCTCTCATTATAGTGTATCAAAATTTAATATTTTTTTCAATACATCTATAAGGCGCAGAAACAAACTAAAAAATCCCCATAAAGTATATAAATTCTTGGTATGACTCACATTCGGAATGCACATGCAAACATACCCGTCTGTTCGTCTGTCGCTACTGTTCGCTTGCGCAATTGTGTAGTATTTGCGGTAAACATTCTCGCGTTAGCGAAAGTGAACTTAAACCTTTCCAAGGACATGCCCACCACGCCTACATGCCTATGCGATAAAAACTTTTATTTTGAAAACTCCTTATCACAGAGCATAGAGATCTACTTCTTTTACTTTTCTTGTCTTTACGATAACGGTGATGGGTATAAAAGATTCGGCCACGACCAAATATAATTTTGATACTTGTATTTTTGCCTTTTTTGAAAATTTCAACAACAACAACGACAACATTGACCTTAGATGTTTACATAAAAACACTCGTGCCGTGGTCTGAAAGCCGTAAGTCTAGGCTTTCTTCAATTACCGATGTGCGCTGCATTATGGATTATGAATATTAGGTATTGTTAGTAAAGAATAATGTGCACGTGTTATGCGTCGATTGCGTGGAGTTGTTGTGTCACAATTATGGGGACACTGTGTGTCTCTTCCCTTAAAAAATAGAGTCTCTCAGATGAAAGTCATCTCTATACTTATATTTCATCAACTCCTGGCGATATTGACATGAAATTTGACGCAGATATATGTTAATTAGTCGCCAAGCTAGAAAAATAAAAATAAAAAGAAAAAAAATTGTTTGGGTTAAGCCTGCGCGATTTAGATGGAAAAGTTTCACCAAGATTTTGTTACGAGCTATTTGTGTGTTCGCTAAAAGTGTATACAATTTTTCGGAAGCAATAGTTCGTCTCAAATTCTTTCCTTTTATTTATCGGACATAGCGGAAAGCGAGCACATTTCGTTACTTATGAAATACTATCGGATTCTTTGCACACACACTCACATAATTAATAAGATCGTTTCATTTTTTTGATGATACTAACTAATGTTATTAAATTGTTTAGATTATCTATCTCTGCAACAAGTTTTAAATGCAAAACTGCCCAAAAGCCAAGGAAAACAAAAAAAAAAAAGAGAGAAAGTAAGAACGTCAGTCTAAACCGAATATGTTAGGTGACCTCAAGTTAATCCCATTTTGTCTTTTATATTGAAGAGCGTTTCTAGAGAAGAAAACTGAGTTAACTGAGAACATGTGTTCATTCCTGAAATACAATAAATCGATTATTAATATGTTGCCCTACAATTCCCAGTTTAGTTGTTATATCAAAGACGAAGACGATTCATTCCAATTACCAGGTCTAACAGGTTGCCTGCGAATAGGCGTTCAAAGCCTTGCCAAACGCGAATGGTTCAATTGATAAACACAAACCTTTGCAAAAGTAGAATTTTATGTGCGTCGTGGCTGGCTGGCTACATTTCTACTTTTCATTCGGTTTCTTTTTAAATTGTTTGCATGTTGAAGAATTAAAGTACACTTTGGATGCTTTTAATAATAATGCTATCATTTTAAATTATAGAGTTCATTAGATAAAGTTTTGGTGAAGCAAAACCATTTGATCGAGGCCTTTAACACTACACGTCCATCTCTTAGTGCCATCGATATTGGCAAATATCAAAAAACGTAAGTAAGAAATTTAAAAATAAAGTCATTTTCAATTGTTTACATTTTTACATAATAATCAACCGAATGTCAATAAAGTCTCTCTTTTTCTCCGATTGCCGTTCGCTACTTTTAAGGTTATGTAATAACATTTTAATAGGAATGTCTGCCATTTAAAAATGAAATATCGACAAAATTTGCAATTTCAAAGAATTCAATAAAAATTCGCTTCCGGTAGAGTTTCCGTCCCGCTAAGCTTATGCTAGAGCGTGGACCTGAGCAAAAACAACAGCCGCCTGTATTTGTCGAATAAGCAATGCTCTCGATTGAAGAAAGAGGGGGGGGGAGGGCGTGACATTTGGTTTAACTATTTGGCACGCGGCACAACCGATTCGAACTATTGAAAAGTGTGTAGTGCGATGAGAGAACATTTTGGGTAATGCAATTGAAAATGACGAAATACTTTTTAAGCTTTTTGCTTTTTATAAGTGCATAGATTTCTATTTAACGTATTTTTTTGTTTTTTTTTTTTGTTTTTTCTTATTTATTGCTTTTTTTTATAGTTACGCAAAATTTACAAACAAAGACAAGAGCTCACGAGAATATGTATCGAAACGGACGACACTTGCTTAGTTCGGATGCCTGTACAAGTTTCAATTAAAAGACAAGTCACATAATTTATTTATTTTCTAGCAATCAACTATTTGCAAAGGGGTTAAGGAATATATATATATATATATATATATATTTATTATTATTATTATTATTATTATTTTTATTATTGTTATGCATGTACATTGTTTGAATGCATGCATATTTTCATGCATTCACATACACTTCACTTTTCCAAGCAATATGTTGTTATAATAAAAAAATGCTTGAGTGAATTTTTCAATTTATATAAAATTTATAATTTCAATATTCATTAACAAACACAATTTAAGATATTTTTTTTTTTTTTTTTTTTTTTTTTTTTACTGAATGTAAAAAGGTGTGCGCGCATGTATATGTGTATATGTATTTGTGTGTGAAAGTCATCAACATACAGATGAACTGTGCAGACATGATAAGGCGATCGTATAATCAATGTGTATCCTTTCCGTTCGTGTAATCGAACCCAAGAATATGCATAATTTTAAATCTCTTCTGTCTCCTTCAAATAGTATATGGAATTTCTGTTTCCGACAACTAGTCAACTAGTATTGAAAAGTTGTTCTTTTCACATTTATTTATTTATTTATTTATTTTTTTGCTTTCTTCCTTCTAATGTTGCAAACATTTTAAGAAAGCATCTCTCAATGTTCGATCAGAAAAGTGTTTACTGTAATTGTTTATTTAATGTTAGAGAAAGTGTCTCCGTGAACACGTGAACAGGTGCCAAAGTAATGCAATGCACATCCCTTCAATTTATGATTAAATTGGCCGTGAACAATTCAAAATGAAAATATAATCACAATTTCTGTTTCAATATCACCATCATCAGCAGCTACGACATTGCAACGCAATAGCTGAGCTGAGCTGAGCTGAGCTCTGGTATGGCTGTTAACATAAATTTGTTACAACGGATTCTGAAATGGCTTGTTTTAAATACTACATACAAACAAATTCTGTGAGCACACAAACAAACACCACAAGCACACGACAAACGACATTTACACTACTACTACTACTCACACACTATAACAATGGCATATGGATGAAATATGAAGAATGAAGTAAGAGTAAGGTTTTTACCTTTCGGCATTTTTGTGTGTATGTATGTATTGTGAGGGAATATACAATTTTTTTTTTTGTTTTTGCTACGATGTGCATTTAACCTGGAGGGGTTCAAATACACTTTTATTTATAATGCTTATAATTTCAATCATTCTTGGAAGATAATGAATTTTTATCTACAACCGTAATATACCTTCTTTCATCACATCAATCCAGGTAGTTTCTATTTCAGTTTAACCTTAATGAATAAGTGAATTTAAATTAAATTAGCACATTTTGAAACAAAAAAAAAAATAAATAATAATAATAATAATAATGATCAGACCATAGTAAAAAATTAAAAATTTGAAAAAAAAAAAAAAACTTACACAGACACTTTTTATATTCATCTATCCATTCTTTGTCAGCACGGTATGGGTTTATTATATATTGTATTGCGTTAGAGTAACCCAACGCATAGGGCAGAGCAGAGTTACTGTACGAGCGAATATCATTTTTAAACTGTTGTAATAGCGTAACATACCTAAGGCATAACGCCTACGTATCAGATATAATTTGCCCGAAAAAAATATTGCATTGCGGCAAGTTTCGAAAGCAATGCAATACCGCAACGCAATATGGCAACAAAGATGGACAAAGTCATGTAAAGGCCTCTAGACGTATAGGTGAATTGCATGCATGGACAAAAGGATTCTTTGGAGAATTGAATTTTTATTTGACATTAACGCTGATCATTGCATCGCACGTTGCATCAATCATGAAATCAATCCATGTTGCCGTATTTGTATTAGTAATTATGCAAAAGTTGTACAAAAGTTGTTGCAGCATCTATTTTTTGCATTGCGATGGCTCACAATGCATGGAACGATCAAATAAGAAGTATTTCTTTTTCATTTAAATTAAAAACAAAATGCTAAAATAAAGTGATAAATATAATTTTATGTAAATGACTGCTTTTGGGTGTTTGGTGGGAATGTAAGAATGTAAGAATGTAGTTCTGGAACACAAATTTTCACATATCAACCTGTCCCTTATTTTACCAATAACATGAATAATCTTCGAAAATAAAGTCATTTAAGGTTTGTGGCTTATCGGAGAAAACCCATGACTTTGCATAATTACAAGGAAGAAATATCAATCGCATTATATGCCATACTCTTGGTGGTGAGCTTACATAGAGTCAATGAAGTTTTCTTCATATAATAAATTGGCTGTGGAACGAGACGCTTGGCTTGCTGCACTGATTTGATAAATATCGTCCATAAAGTCCAAGCATTCATCTAATTTATGCCAGAGACGACGACATACATGTAATCATGTTCTGGTAGCCCTCTGCCATTGACAATGACTACAATATGGTAATTCATCCATACTATAGCTTACAGCATCTATGTATTCGGCCGTATGTTTACGTCGTCACAAAGATTCATATCATTTGAGTCTGATTTCTCACGAATGCTAAGCTGTGTAGATCGATTATGTTGACGATAAATTTGTTTATTTAACGGCAAAACGTAAACCGATCGAACACATGGATTATTTGTATAATAAGTGGTATTTTTCCTCGAAGATTTGTCAAATAACATTGAACACAAACGCCAATTTTAACGGGAATCTGAAGAAAAGCATGGACGGTTTGATGTTTAAAGAGAAAAAACTTCTTATTTGACTATCGCTTCTATATGGTTAGAAGCATTTAACGAAGTACAGGAAATTGATTAATAATGCGTAACCTTTTGTTAAGTGAAAAACAAAAAAAAAAAAAAAATAAACAAATTGCGTTACATTTAAGAGAGAATGTAAGCTTCCGTAGTCTAGATCTTTACCGTCTGTAAATGGATAATAATTGTGCGTTAGTACAGTCAGAAGTTTGTTTTGGCAGATAATTATTGAAAGTGATTTTGATGCGTTAAAATTCGACATTGCAGGCACTTCTCTCTTTCTCTCTCTCTCTCTCTCTCTGTCTCTGTCTCTTTATAGGAGAATCCTTGAAAAACTAAAGGATTATTAATATATTATGATATTCGCGGAGGGTTCGTCGATTGTTGCGTATGGGATCTATTAAACTGATTTGTAAATAAAATTAAAAAGAGAAAGAACTGAAAAACGAATTTGAAAAGAGGTCGAAGCTATCCCTAATAAACACGCAAAAGTTTGAGTGAGCTATTTACGTTAATTACGCGTGTGTATGTACGCTTTAAACGCCTTTAAAGGCTTGCTGAAGCGCATTTCTGTGCTGCATTCGTTTTAAAATCTTTTGATAAACTAAACGTATCCTTTGCGGTGGATTTCGAAAATTACGAAAACTTTTACTTATTGAAACTTTTAATTATCGAAACAAGTTACTGCCTGCGCTTCTAAATGTTCTTGTTCATCATACGCGAAATATATTTCCTCTCTGGGTATACATGTACGTATGAATGTAATAAAGATTCGAAAGAAAAAAATTATTAAAAGAAGGTAATGAGTTAATAATAATAAAATTGTTTATCTACTTAATCTTTGAAATCCGAATAAAGTTAATTCTAGCGTAATGAAGTAGTTGCGAAAGTTCTTAGCTATGTATCAGTGTTTTTGTCTTTTTTCTTTTTCTTGCTTTTTTTTTTTTTTCCTTTTTTTTTATTTTTTATTTTTTTTTGCTTTTCTTGGTATGTTTTGTAATTTCGCTTTTACTGCTACAAGAAGTTTAACTATATTTATTCATAATATTCTCATAATTTGCGTTAAAAAACTTTTCGGGATTTAGCTTAGTTTTGTAGCACTAATATATCATTGTGTTGGCGTAGGCGGAAGTGTAGTCGCTGTTTTCATAAGTTTACTGTTTCCGTTCGCTTAGTTTTGCCGTCCCATGAGAACGTTACTCTGCTTAACTTCGAGGTTTCGGCTTTCGGTAAAGTTGCATTTTCCGCTGTTGATTTTAACGCTATAATAGAACTTTAGTTTTTAGAAGTTCACTGTAGTATGTAAATTAGCGTCAAAAACACTTGAATCTTTTAGCAAATGAAATATAAATGAAGTGAATAAAAATTAAATTTGTTATGTTAGCTTGCATGGCTACGCTTGCTCTTACTCTGCTTAAAATGTAGTCAGAGTAAAAATCTTGCTGCTTACGGTTTGTTTCATTACATTTAAAAACTTTTGAAATTAAGATTTTTGGTTTGCGATAATTCTTCACTAAGATTACGAGTAGACATGCATATATATATATATGTATGTGTGTGTTTGTATATATACGTGCATACATTGCACATAGGGGTGTAAGATTTTCATAACATCCTTAAAGCTTACCGTAGATAAATGTTAAATATTGATATGTAAAATTTAAATACGTATTGGTATTAAAAAAAAAAAAGAGAAAAAAAAAAAATAAGAAAAGAAAAGAAAAATGGAAAAGATAATAAAAGAGAGACACGTGAAAAAATCAAATATGGCTATGGTCGAATATTCTTTCTCTTAAAATGGAATATACATATTTTCAGCATATATGAGTTACTCATTCATGAATCGAAGATTTGCCTGATTTGCCTCTGTAAGCAAGCATTTTTCTCAATTTATACTCTTCGAATGCGAAGATGATGTGTTCATTTTTGCGACTAGGAGAATGCTCACTAAGGACATTATGAAGTTAGAAAGACGGACAGACGGACAGGCGGACAGAAGGACATGATTAAATTGGTTCTGAATTAAATGCTGATGAAGAACACATGCGTTGCGTGAAGCATCGTTCTGATTATTGTAAACGTTTTGACAAAATTCTCCGGTGGTGGGTATTTGTATGTTCTAAAGGATACACACAAATATTCAATTGTGTGTTTACATATAAAGCTTCCTTGGATTTTAATCAATTGTTTTGCGAAAATATGTACTCTTTAGCGACAATAAAGTCGTGAAGAAATTCAATAAAATTGAAACTTCAGGCACATTACGAACGTGCTAAGGATAAACAACAATAATAATAATAATATAGAATAAATGCAAGCGAACTGACAATATCCAATCTCAACGAATCTTACATGCCCTTTATCCTAAACATCCTTTTAGTTCATAATTGGTTAAAGTGTTTGGAGCGGGCATTAAGAGCCTTTAGATGAAAATATGATCTCTCACCAGTTCTATGGGTAACGCATATACGATATACATATTCTATGTAGAACATCATTCAATGTTACTCGTCA